CACGAGTGGTTTGACCCGTGGCTTTTTCCTGGATTTCTCTCAACATGTCCTGACGGTGTGTCGACTGACAATGTGTTCTCACCGCCGCCTTGACCCATCGGAACTGGGCAGGCAGATTTTCCCTTGGAGAGAAATCTGATCCCATGCTGAAATCATACCGGAATACAACAGGCACAGATTTGAGGGACATGCTGCAGTTGGTATCTGTGACACGAGCCTTATAGAAGGGGACGTTCTTCGTTGCACACGCAACCAGGTGTTCGTCATCAGCATTTTGCAAAGATGCAGTGGTCCTTTCTGAAGGGAAGAGCAGAGCGATATCGGCTCTCTGTTCTTCCCATGCAGATGTTTATTCGGCTTCTCCACCACTTGCAGAGTACGGCCCGCAACCTGCCGAACATCTTCCACCTTGCGTGCGACTTCGAGCATCCGCGTCATGATGCGTGTTTCCACGACAGATTAACAGGGTTGTGCAGTTGCTGCCGAAGATGGTCCAGCACAAAGTTTAGAAGACGATCAGTACCAGTTTCAAAAAAGGACGGCCAAGTACCAGCTTCTAGAGCGGGTGGCTCATCGCCAGCTGATGATCCTGATGATCCCGCGCCCGCTTCCAAGCAGGATGGCCGAGCATCAGCGTCTACATCACATTCATCAGCTTCTAGTCCAGCCTCCATGACAACACATTGGGGTGGGTTTACCTGGTCCAGACCTGAAACGAAGCATCCTTACGTTATGTTGGGAAAATCAACTGCGGGTGAGATGCCAACTGCAAACCATGGGAGGGTCAATAAGCATTAAGTTGGAGACGATTTAACCTCTCCCAACCCGATTGATCATTGGTAGACGAGTCAGCTGAACGGCTCACGAGTCGCCCTGGTATGGGGGTGAGGCCCCCCTCCCCGTTGCGTTGCTAAGAAAAATGCTAGGTTATGTTAGGTTTGGTAAACCCTCGCCCCTATCCCCGTTATTCATAACGTGGATTGTCCATGCGATTCCCTGATATTTCCAAACTACTGAAGATAAATGTTAGCGAAAAACAACACCAGTTAATTGGTCCTAATAAGGGTTCGCGATCGGTCTTAGTTGTCATATTTTAAGCTCAATAATGGACTACATGGTGTCAGGTCAAAGCCCAAATTTTCCAGAAAATCACATTTTTCAGCTTTGCAATATTATACGCACGAAAGCGTGCGTTGTGGCGGCACGAGATTAAGTCATGTGTGTATCTTGTTCAATTTCAAGATACAGGCGTGTATATGTACGAGTGTTGAGCATACATGTATATTACATTGTTTCGTTAGTGTAACAACGTCAGCCCAACGCACGCTCTGCGGCATCGTCGGTTACCGTCCGCCGCCCGCGCCGGCCGTAGATGGACGAGCTCCTCCCAAACCAGATGAGGTAGAAACGCGTCTTCTCTGTCAAAACTCGCGCAATGGATGTCCCATGAGGCACCACAAATTTGGACGCCATTGCACAACATGGCGGAGAGGTATACTTAAAAACCTTAGGGGAGAGCGCCCCCTCCTAAGTTAGTGGATACATGTTGTGTGCGAATACCATTCTGCCGTGATTGTTATGCATTGGTCTGGGAAAACAAGGTATACTGAAACTGAAGTGTAAAGATTTTATAACCATCGTAGGTCATCATCCTTGTAAATTTTGGCCCGTAGATATTTTGTTCCATCGCAACCGAACAAATGTACATCAGCTAGAGATGTTCAACATCACGTCCCGTCCCACTCCATGGATTGCTCAGCAGGCACCCTTGTAGAATCAGGGATGTCTTATCTGCATACCTCCAGCCAATGTACTTACTTGCCAGCCAAGACTCCAACTTTCATCCAGCGCCATAACTACAGTTTTTTGGTCGAACAGGCAGACCGACATGTTTAACCTTCATATGCCTTTTTAAATTGCTATATTCGCCACTGAAGCTGCACCCCACGAAGCCACATAGCACCTCCTGACGAGAAGAAACAGATAATTTGGCGTGATCATTGCAACGACAGCAAGTCACTGCGACCATTGCGACCACATGGTGGCCACTTGCTGTGGTCATTGCAGTAAGTCTTTACAATAAGTATTATAAGCATTGCAGTAAGTATTTCCAGTAAGTCCACGGAATGTAAACGTTCATCAAATCCTCCGTCCTCATCCCCCCGTGAGCATTCCGCTGTAACGCACCCGGTTCCGTAGTAAACCAGCGATGCCCAACGCCGCAAAAGCGTATTTCAAGGCAATACTGCCCCAATCTCCCAAAGGCAAAGTCGTACACGAAGGTGATAATAACGGTTGTGAGTTGTGGATGTTTTTTCTTCGCCAAATTTTGTTCCACAATACAACAACAAGTTATTGTGCATGATGATAGCCTGTTTTGTTTCAAAATAGTTGGATAAGTTTTTTTATTTGAAAAGTAATATCTACGATTGTATTACGTCATACAGTCCTTGCATGGTGAATTAAACCAAGCATGGACGGTCTTTTGTTCGTGTTGAGTAGACGACAGTCTAAGGGCGAGGAGCAAATTTCAAACCGAAATAAAATTACCACTCGAAAAAGCAGGAGACAGCCAAGTGCACCCACAAAGCTCCCACAAGTCTCCCAAAACGGCAAAATTGAAGGTCTGGACCACTGAAACATATCTTCCTGTTCAGTCATGAAGAAAATGCATGTCATCGCGTTAGAATTAGCGTTTTATGATATGCATGTCAAATAAAAAACTTGCAGCAAGAGGGCGTTCTGTCCCTTTCATGAATAGTAGACGTTCATTTGAGTCTCCCACGCTCGTGGACGAGGGGACGCCTTTTTAGACCTTTGAGTATTTCAATGATGTTCCAGTGGCGTCGCGCACGCGTGAGCGACCTTGAAATAGTTTGCACGAAATATGGTGCACATCTTCGCGGAGAAAACAAGGTTTTAGGTCTTCAAAAGGGCAGAGCTGTAAACTGCACCGGGTTAACTCACGACGGCTAAATCCGATCAAAGCCCAGTGCAAATGTGGAACGCTCTCTTTAATGACCAAATGGTCGTGAACGGCTGGCCAGAATGGCAATGTGCGCGTGCAAAGTTGGACATTGAGTAAAGGTGAACTTGCGTCCTGGCGCAGCAGCGGTAACAATACAAGATTATCGTTTGGGACAGATGGAACGAATCAAGCACCTTGCTTCTCTTTTACCTGCTCACCATAGGGTTCTATATTACAGTCGGACGCAGTTTTGCAAATTCCATAAAATCACACGTAGTGTGCCATGGCCTCACGCTTGAGTCATATCCAAGTCACGACACGCCCCGTTAACACGCACCCGTGGCCAACTGGATACCCTTCGGTGGGGTGCGGGTCAATTTGGCCCCCTCCTACTGAGATCTCGGGAACTAAGAAAGCTAGAGACACGAAATTTACAGGGTATGTTGACCTGTACATTAACTCACTTAGGTCAAATTTTGGGTTCCTAGGTCATGACCTTCGGGTCAGATAAGGTCAAGTAAGGTCAAATTCCAGGTTGGTCTCCAAAGTGCCCCCAGAACCTAGCTAACTGTTCCTAAGCAGAGGGCCACATTCTCATTTAAGGTCAGTGACCTTGTTTGACGTTTTGAAGGTCATGGTGACCAAAATCATACGAGACTGCTCTGAGTGTTGCATTTGAATAACCGACAAAGATCACGCTAGGCAGTATATTCCCAAAAACATAGTGTTGAACTGGGTCATTTTAGGTCGATGGCCTATTCTGACCTCAAACAACTCCATGGAAGATGTATAATGCGGTTTCAGCTATCAATAAATTCGAAATGAGCACCAGAAGCTATCCCATACAGCAAACCCTTAGTAACAAACAGGTCTATTTTGACCTCGGTCTGACCTTCATACCTGACCTTAGGTCAGTGTAATTTGCTCATTCAATCTTTGTGTTGCCTAAGAAAGCATCTCAGAAATGTATGGCTTCGTCTGACGCTTCATTGTTGCATCAGACTGAACGATTCCCTTGAAATTGCCTTCGCTGAAATCATGACCTGACTTTGTCCTGCCATACGTCAGCGATCTAACATGGTACATCCATATTTTGTTTACACGAAACGATCCGCTATTCAATTGTTTACAGCTAGGCAAAATTTGGTGCAGCTACGCCGCGCCGTTCGGAAACCGTTCTGAAAAAACCTTCGGGGGGTCAGTTTGATTCCCACCCCAGCGCGTGTTAAGAGGTGGAAGTAACGGACTGAAAATGTGAGAATTGCATGGCAGAGCTGCTTTCAATATCGGCTACCCAATATTAGCAGTCACTGCTGAAATCATGTGATAGAGGCTAGATAAGAGAAGGGAGTGGGAGGGGAGGCCGGAATCAAGTGGTTACAAGTGGTAATCAAGTGGTTGCTGGATAGCATCTTGGGCTTCCACGTTGGGCGCCGTGTTCGAATCCCAGTAGATTTACATGACGGATGAGCGCTAATGACCCCTGCAGTCCGCAAATTTCACTTGATCAAAACTTTTAGGAGTTCGGTTCTTAGCCGTCCCCAGCGTTGCACGCCAACGTTTCGGCGCGGCACTATTGAAAAGTTTGCTGAATAGCAGTTTGCTAATCGACATGGTGACTTTCTTTCGTGTCGCTATTTTGAAGTTCAAAATTTAGCCGATTCTGCTCTTTTGGCACGTCGGGTCATACACATGTTACGATTTTACAGTTGCCGTTTAGCAGTCAATGAAGAGACATTCCCCGAGTGGGAGGTTCGAGTTTTTTTGTCATTTAACTACGTGAAATGGTTTTCGAATACAAGAGCTCTTTTGGACGCGGGGGGGGGGGCTCTGAGCGCCTTACCGCGCTTTGTAAGGCCCCTAAGCGACCAAGGGGGTTTCCTTGGTTGGGCCTGGTCTGGCTCCTTTATGAGAGAAAATCTGGCTACGTCGCAATACAACAGCTTTGAAAATGCGCATGCATCTATGGCAAGATACGAGTCTATAGAAGCAATGCGCAAGATGAGTACGGGAACTATGACGTATGTGGTGTTTTTCGTTACATGGTTCGCGAAGCTGTCGACCTGTAGAGGCCAACCATTTACCACGACCCTGCGTTAAAGACGAAGATGGCTACGAGATCCGAAGATCAGTTGGGTATAAAATGGGACAAATGTGTCGCTGACACATTGCTGAAAATGGGTGAGTCATTACTGGTCGTAATGAGTGTAAAGTGGCCCCTAAGCTGCTGTTTTGCGTATTTATTGTGTGCGTCATGAATGTCTCATGAGCATAAGACTGGTGCTCGGTATCAGAAGTGCTTTCAGTCTATAAATTTTGCTACTAGGGTTATGAAGTGTATAATTTTTGCATTTTGATTTTGCGTTGGCTCAATAGGATCGTTTTGTCAGGTGTCTGCCGTGTCTGCCATGTGCCTGTCATATACTTCTAAGCATCTTGCAAAGCCATTACCTCCACAAGTTACCTGCGGAACTAGTTTTGTGCGTAATGAGTAATAAAATGCCTTTTCCAAGCTTCTCACATGCAAGCCATGGGCAGCAAAAAATGTGCTTTTCCTGCAAATATTTGCTAGTCTGGTGATGTTTTCTAACCAGTTATATTCACAATACAGATGTCATTATCTTCAGCACTTATTGTTTTGCTCACTACTATTCAGCATCATTGTCACATGTCCAGGGCAGCTTTGAGGCTCACAATAGTCAAGGGCACTTCTCTTGACTTTCTTTTTCATTGCCAGTCTGTGAGAATGTAAGCAGTTAGTTAGTATTCCCAAGAATGTATGGCTGTAGTAATAATGTACTGCTGATTTAACACTTCCTCCACAACCACTTATAAGGACCGGGACTTCTACAATTACCCATGTTCTTACAACTACCTGTTGCATAAAGGCCAAGAGTGGTACCTTGGTCCTTGATTGTCCTTTGCATGCTTATTACTGCAGAGCACAACAGACAACAATGGGGAAAATGTGTAACATACCTGCCACATTGCTCCGCGCACACATCTGACCACTCTTCCCGAGACACCAATTGTTGCAGAATAGGTATTGGACTGACAGATACAATACAAGTTTGAATGATACAAATGTTAAAAGAGGTCAAACTGCTAAGATATCAAGGTAACAGTTGAGTAGAATGAGTTTAAATATATTTTTCACTGCTATATGAGCTTCCTATGCATGTATTGCCACTGAAAAAAGGGTGCACATGGCTGTGACCATGAACAACCAGCATGTGGAAATAAATCAATTTTGTGCCATTAGCACAATGTGGATAATACCATGAGCAAGAAAATTAACAGGATAAACTTATCTTTGGGAAGCAGAAGATGTTGCTGGATGCTAAACTTGCAGTGTAAGGCTGGTCAGGAATGACATTAGCATAAGTTGAGGCAGGGAGAAGTTTCCTATTCAGATTGGAGAAGGAGAGTCTTTCACCGACCCTATTTGGACTCCAGCCCCCCTGCATTGAAAAAGAAATAAGCAAAATCTGGGCAGAAACTTGTTTGTTGATGCCTTTTAGGGGCATTTGGGAGTTGCAAAACTATGCCCCTGGGTTGAGCCTGCAGACATGTTTGCAATGCTGTGTGAGAGCCTTGCTGCAATGCTGGAGCACCCAATTGTGATAGGTCTATATTCCAGGCCACTTGAGACAAATGTCTTTCCCCAGATACCTCAGGACTGCACAGCGCACCATGCCATTGAGCGTGACCATAGAGGACGAATTATTGGTTCACAACATTGTGTGTGTAAAAAATGATGAACCTTTTCATGGTGATGTCCCTAATCTGCTTGTCCTGGGGAGAATATTGGACATCAGGTTTTCCATCATGGCAATGTGCCAGCTCACTTTGCGTTGAAATGCGCGGGCTTCGGGCCGCGCCGCCTCTATTGTCGGTACCCCCCTTCCCTTCCCCCCCCCCCCCCCCCCCCCATCAGCCTTACCTTACCCGTCGGTTTCGGCTCCTTGTGACTTAGTCCGCTCCCCCGAGTTCAGGATGGATGGACGCCGCTTTGACGCAGTGCGGGATACTCCGCGCGATTCGCACATGGTGCCTGATCCGCTTAAAGAGCGAGACTTCCAGGGAGCGGTCCAAGCGTGGTATAAACGCCGAGACTGATGTATCGCCGCGTAGGAATACGTTCTTCGAAGGAGGACGGCGGTTAAATTGGAATTTGGTCCGCTCTGACCTTGTTGTAGAAGGAGTCTCGGAACTTTTTGATCGCTCCACATACTTAACATAAGCTGACAGAAATTTTTAGTCTAACCGAACCTAAACTCTTGCCCGCGTCTGCACGTACGCCGCGTCGGACTGGTGCCCCTAGCCTAGCCTAGCCTAGCCTAGCCTGCAACCCTCCCCTCCTCGCCATATCCCTCGTAATCTATGTGTTTCAGAGGTCTCGTTATCAGTCGGCTAATGCTAAAGGTTCAAACACACTAATTTTAACGCCTCTGTCCCCCGGCATGAGAACCGCAGACACCGAGGGCTGGTCGTAGACATTGCTACTTCGGAGGCATGTGAATAAGAAAGTGAGCTGAAGAAAATTTTCGTTATAAAATGCCCCCTCTCTAACCTGCATTTCCTGTTGTTAATACGAATCACCAGACGTGCACAGTTCGAAAAATGCTACTTGGTCACGATGCCTTTTGGTATTGGAGCTAGTTCTTATCCCGCCATTCCACACCGAGATTGAGTGACCGCTGGTCCAGGAATGGAAGCGGCGTCAGCACGCGTCGGGCGTCGCTTGGTGTGTGCCGTGCTGTGCGACCGTCTTGAGTTTTGGAAGGAAAAAAGCTGTTAGATCGTGTCATCGCAGTATGGCATGACTAATATTAATATTCTCCTTCATTTTGAGTCGTCTTATGTCGGACATTTTACGGTATAAATCTGGTAAATCGCAGCATATGACCGGGTTTTGGCGACGGACACTGAAGTGGATGGGGCACGGGGTGTCCTTTCTCAGGGACCTCGTCGCAGGGCTTGGTGCATGTAACTCTGAAGCCCTCAATGGCTATGGCAAATCCGTCACTCCCAAGGGCTTATGCCATGCTTAGAGCACCGCCATCCCCCCCCCCCTTTCCTTAAGATCACCACTAGGATCCCAAGTGTCGAATCCTGGTGATGCCCCTTCCATTGGCTACATCTGGATAGATCAGTTTGATGTCCGAGACTAGTGTTGGCCGGTCAGGTGGCTCTCTGTGCTGGCTATGTCCGATTTCGCTAGATGTTGGCCATGTAAGTTGTGCTCCATTGATGTGTTCCATGCCTTGTGGTGATAATCGCATGATGTCCCGCATTTTGTCTAGCTGTTTTTGCTCGTGTTGACAGTGATGAAGCCAATCGGATGTCAAGTGTGTTCAGATGAATATGATTAGCATTTGTTATATTATAACGTTCATGCGTTATGTTACCTAGTGTGGTTTTCGGTGGGTCGGTCGGTTAGTGCCTGCTTTTGCATTCGTGCGCTCAGTTCGGAATGAGCCCGTGTCGCTTACGCATGATGGAATGGGCTCCAGTCGCTTGCGCGTAACGGAATAGGTTCGAGTTGCTTAAGCGTGGCGGAACAGGGTCGTGGCGCTTAAAGTGCGCGCTATTTGCTCTTGCTTGATTGGCCCGCGGCCGGTGGCAACGGTGGCGGTAAAATTCTGGTGACGTTGGAGGGCAGAATGAAGCGTGCCGAACATTTGGCTCGTTGATTTCCCTACCAAAGTGTGCCATTCATCCAGAATTTCACGATCACATGAAACGCTACTTAATGTGAGCGCTGACCTCAAAAATCCATGTCATCGAGATACTCGGTTTCGTAAATATGCGTTTATTGTGTGAATTGCGCTACAGCAGTACGCATGACCATCCGTCATGAATTAAAGCATGCTAAAAGGGCTCCGAGGCGTGAAGGACTTGCGCATAGCCCATAATCGTGCTTTGGGCAGGTAATGCAGAGTTATGTCATTATTTTTGTCATTTGTCATTTGCCACTTGCATGGCCGAGTGATAGGCCAGAGGGAATCAAATGTGCTTAAGCCAATCAGCAAGGAAGTTGTGGTTAAGTCATATGGGACTCTCATGTGGTGAAAGATGTGCCCGTGTTCTGCTGCATGTGTATCAGAGTTGTGTTGTGAGAGGTGCATGATTGCCATGGTAAATTTCACACCACATGATTTGTTAGCACCAGAATCCATCCAGTCCCCTGATGTAGATATTCAGCACACCTTTATGTAGAAACTTCAGGTGAAGCATGCCTACTGTGCCCATGCTCTCAGTGTTGGAAAACTTGACGTTTCCTGGTATAATGTATACCAGAACATTTTGTACTCCAGGATTGTGACTACGCAAAATGGAATATGTTGTACTCCATCATGATGCATCAAGAACAGCTTTTGGAAAAACTCACTTTACTTCTTTGTGTCAGGACAAAATAAAACCAGAAGGTGCAACAGCTTGAGACTTGCTGCTTCCATCAGGAGCCATGTATTGATATCTGCAAAAGCACGAATATTGCACACACCAGACTAAGGTACCCAGTAGCAAGCAGCCTGTGTTGCCACCCGGGTATATGATAAACCATGTATGGAAATGTGGCAAATAAAGTGTGTGAATGTTGAATGGAGTCACCTTTGAATACCGGGAAATGAAAAACGAGTACCAGACTCGCACCGGTATGTAGATTAGCAAAGCTCTCACTTCCTATGCCCTACGCAGACCAACTCAAACTTGAACATGATTTAACCTACCATTGACGACGAACCGCATTAATTGCCAAGGATGCAACGAACAGTCATAGAAGACCGCACGCCCAATCACCTACCACATACGGCCGCCTACCCACGCGCCACCACTGTGTTATGACAATGCAAATAAGAGAATCACTCGCAATTTGGCGTCGGAAACGTCTCAACTATTCAGCGGCTTGCGCCCTCCTCCCAGGTCGGGCTGGAGGTCGAACATAACAAAACTCTGTTTTGTTTTAATGATTCGCCTCCTCGTGTCTGATTGGTCAAGAACATAAATATTTTGCTCGCGCTCATGCCTCGAACAGATTTATAGCCGTTTTGAGGGAAGCTGTATGGGATGGGCAACACGATTATGAAGGACTTATTTGTACTCATCCAGAACCGCCTTGTGGTTGGATTTTTGGCCACTTCCTGGTATCCGGAGTGCAAACATTACGGCAGCTGTAGATTTCAACCAAGGCAAATTTGTCACTCAAGGGTGTGAAATTAAAGGTAATAATTCAGGCTTGACAAAAATGCCCTTTTAAGTAGAAAAACGCTGCTATAAATAGCCAACAAACTGTTCGGAGACAGCCATCTCACTCCGGCAAAAACACCAGGACACCAGAGCAACATGAACCCATAACTGGCCGGGCAAATTAGGGAAAAGGGTTTATTGGGACAAAAACATCAATAAATTGCAACCTAGATTATCATCTTTTGCAATGATATCGGTTAAAGCACATCGAAATTCATTCATACATTGGATTATCCGCCGGAGTCAGCGGAGTGACTAACTCCGATCCCTTTTGGCCGGCCTGCACGGGCCTGGCAGGCATTGTACTTGCGCTGGCTCGGTAAATCGGTTAAGATTGCTGCCTGCCTCTGTTGTTCGGGTGGGACGTGCAGGGCCTCGTGTGTTGACTGGGAGTGGAAAGGTGGAGGGCATGAACGTTTGGCTGTCGTTACAGCCAGTTAGTTGGAGCGTGAGTAGCGTGACCGTGGTGGAGCGTGAGTAGCGTGATCGTGGTGGTGCATAAGTGGCCGTCTGTGGCATGTTCATTTGCTTTTTTGGGGTACCATTTTTGTCTGGCTGTGCGTATCGTACCCACCCTCCATTTTGGAGGGTGTGTAAGCCCAGTGTGTAGCCGCCCTCCATTTTGGAGAGCAAAAGCGCGATGCGTAATTACCCTCCATTTTTGAAGGTGTACACAAATTGTGCATACAAACCTTTCGTAAATTGCAAACCAATGTATGCGCACATGTGTTTCATAATAGAGAGTATGAGACCGTGTTGTTTCAGTGTTCCATGTTTAATACTAATGTTTCCTTACATTTAAAGTGTTTTTTTACATGAATTGCTGCATATGAAAAGTGACGCTTTTGTTGAGTACCACCCATTGTACTGTTGTATCTCAAAGACAACCTAAGTAAAGCTGTAATGACCCGCAGCACTTGATTGACGATTGGGGTTTTAGGGCGCGTCGACTTGTAGGGCCATTTTGCGCCCATCCCGCAGCACTTGGATAATTTTGTACTCCACTATAGAAGATTTGTACTCCGCTACCAGGATTTTTTTTGGAATTTCCAACACTGCATGCTCTTTTCTACGTCTGCACGCTTATATTTAAGATTCAATGACATAGACTGCATTGGATTAAATGACTCAGGTGGCACTTCCTTTCAGGTGGCGGACTGGCAGTTGGTGCAGTGTTTTCCCTCATGTTCTTCAAACGTAAGTATGCATGGGATGGCTCGGACCCGCCCGCGGTCGCTCCGTCGCCGACGTATTGGATTGCTTGCTGTAGGGCTACCACCGCTGCTGGATTCCTCCCTGGATCAGAACATTGATTGAAATTACTTCCTTGATATTATGTGGCTATGTTATGTCCCCGTACGAATAATTCAGGAAACTTCCACCTTGATAGATATGTAGCAGTGATTGCAGTTATGAAGGTGCATTTTTGTCGCACGTTTTTGCGTGCGTAATACGAATGCTATATTTTTTTGTAGACGTGGCTGTCATTGGGTATGGATATGGATGTGTACGGAAAGCAATGCAATAAGCAGGGTTGGCTGGAGCCAGCTCAAACAGTTTCCGCCAGCCGGTTTTACCGGTTAAAACCGGCTGGCAGAGACTGCTGGTGGGTGCCGGTAGTGTAGTGATTAAGGCGTCTGCGTTAGCCACTGCGCGTCTGGGAAACCAGAGGTACGGGGTTCGGTTCCCTGCGGTGCCCGCCCTTCTTGCCAGGGTGAGGGGCAGGCGACGCCATACAGCCTCGCAGCTGGGTGCGTCGTAAAGCCCCAATGACATGACATGACTGAGACTACTGGTGGTAAAAATGGATTAGTTCTATATTTTATATATTATAGATATATAGATGTAGATATTTAAATGTAGATATATATATATATATATACATATGTATATATGTGTATATTGTTATGTATGCATATACACACACAGGCAGTTTATTTGGTCCATTGGTTTTGCACGGCAGTCTTGAAAATGTGGCTCGTGGCAAAAAGGACGAACAGCCGCTCGAAATCATGGCCACATCTTGGTAACCAGAGGTCGGAGCGGCAACAAATCGACACGTTTCGCTACACAATTGAATGGGGAACCGCGTGGTGCCAAATACGCAGTGCTACATACCACGTGTCGTGTGTACAGGTGTGACCAAGACGGATTGCCCGATTTTGACGTTCTCCATCTTTTTTGCCACAATACAACTCGGCACCCACAGCAGATGTAGACGCGAATCTGATTTCAAAATTTTGATCAGCGTACCGTCCGCAATTTATGTGGCCAATACGATTTTGTGCAACGCTGGGTTCCATCAGTAAGCGTCCGGCAGGTCGGGAATGTCGGCATTTAAAAAAAAACGCTGCCGAACACCATGCTGTCGTCAAAACTGTAACCAGGGTGGTCGCAAAATTTACATCACTGCATACACCAGTTCATTGCCTGTATTGGCCACCCATTCATTCGTAATCTCGTGCACCGTCACGTACGAACATCGACTTTACCAACATGGTTGCGATTCCACACCTTTGCGTCGTCAGAATGTCCACCGGTTGTGGCAGTCGCCGTCGGCATTTCAAACAAAACGACGAAACGCACATGCACCATACCTGTCAACGGCCGGCAGTCTTCATTCTTTCATCCATTCGTTGCGGCGAAAAGGGTGAGCCATAGTGACGATCGGTAGTATTACATGAATTTCTTGGTTGCCAAAAAGTTAGAGAAACCAAACGTAATGAGCGAAGAATAATTTGCAAAGAATGCAATGACGCTACTCATAACATGCAGCCATTCTGAAGCGGAGCCGCTGCCACGGCCAAACAGCCTAGTGCTTCGCGGGGTGTGGTTTTTTATATCGCTGCAGAGTGTGACAGCACATAAACGTTGTGGCAGCGATGAAGAGGTTCAACGGTGAGATAAGGGAGATCTTATTTGGGTCATCCAACAGCAAATTGACGGGAAGATAGCACCGCTAACGTTTATGGGTGTATTATACGGCAAACACATTATTCTGTTTTAGTTAAATCTTAGAGTCGTACAGCGACCAGTAAGGGACTGGGAACGAATGAAAGCACATGGTACGGCACAAACTCTGTTTCAAGTCACCGTATCGAAAACAGTTTAATGAGCATAACGTGGAAAATGTGTGAGTATTTGTGGCGTATCGGAGTACAACGTTAAGGAAAAGTCAATGAAAGCTAACTACCTGTCTTGCTCGGAAATATGGGTCAGTATGACATTGAAGGTCAATAATGCATGGTGGCCAAGTATAACCTTTTTAATAAATTTATTCCGAGTGGTTTTGTACGGGTGACTTTCGGCTCGGTGACCGGTGACTTTTACGAGTGACCTTGCACCAGACAGAAATGCGGAGGGGTCTACGTGCCGCCAATGCTGCGACACGGCCGCCCCGAGCCAGGGTCGACCCTCGTTGGCCATTTGCTAGCTGACCTTTCCATTTCACTCGGACCAAACAGTGCGCCCGCTCTGGGACTCGTACCCAGTGCCGCTGGATTACGAGTCCAGCATCCTTCCCCTAGACCACGGAGGCGGCCACGGCCTCAGACGTGCTGTTCTTAAAAAACGCGGTACCTTTAATTTTCCATAAACCAATAGCAAATCAAAGACCAACTTGTTGCCGCTGAAGCTAAACAAGAAATCGATGTGATCTCTTCTAGATCTGTCGTAAATCGGATATGAACATAAGCGGATCAGGCACGCCATTAAGCGGCCGGCCGGCGTCGGGTGACCGGGCGTAATCGCCTCTCTCAGTCCGGTACCGCCACCGGAAACTGGAAACCATTCATTCTAATCTTAAAACCAATCGCCTAGACATTGTCCAGGAATTCTGGAACGGTGTATGGAGGAGGAATGCGTGTTATTCGACAGTACGTGCCTGTGTTCCTTGAACATTCGTGTGGATGGCGACGTGCGCTCTTTAGTCTTCACAGCGCATCGATACCCATCGCATAAAGTTGAGCGGTGTACCCAACATAAGAAGAAGGAACTGTAATGAAATAACGTTTTGTTGTCCAATCTGGCCTTTGGTCGGACCAAAGTCGCCGTGTGGGCTGGTCCAGCATGCATCCGGGCAAACCAGGTCGGGGCCCTAAAGAGTGTCATTAAGTGTAGAGCTGTGTGGCCGTAAGGTCAGGGAAAATGAAGACGTGTATTTTTGCCTCTCAGCAAGTGCCTTCGGGGAATGCTTAGTGAGAAGAATCGGGTAAAATTAGACCTGCTAGCTAGCAGACCTACTTCACAACTAGCGCACAGATAAAGTTAATTTCGGATGACACACACACACACGTCTCCGGTAGTCAGCACATCACAACCGGCTGCCGTCAGATATCCCGTCAGCCGGAGGTCGGGTCGGGCAAGAAATCCTTGAAACGGCGTTGAATGCTTCCAGAAGTAATGCTAAAAACAAATCTGCCATGGACTACCAAGGGTCTTTTCATTTCATGCACTTTCGAAGAGGAAGCTTCGTTGCGTAGCGAAGCAAGCACGAAGCCACCCGTTTTGATCTATATTGTGAGAACACGTGATAGCAATAAGACATGAAGTCGTGCTGCCTGCAGCAAAACCAGCAAAACGTGCAAAGCAGTTTTGCACTATCGAATCCCATTCCTCACAGCTTCAAACAATTTCTCAAAGGATTGTGCCGTTGTTAACATTCGCTGTTTCTATTGTTTGAACTGAATAGGAAACATTGCAACTACTTTTGGGTAAAGTGATGGATAAAAAGAGCGAGATTTTAACATTATAAGTCTCTGTCAGTTGATGCCTGTTCCAATCGGCTAAAGAAAAAGTGACAGAAACTAGTTTCAGCCGAGATAAATGCCATACCTGGCAATAAGTATCAGACATATGTTTGCGTTTGGCCAGGCTCTTGGAACTGACAGCGCCATCTCGGCTCATTTCGGTGTTCAAATTAGGCACAAGGCATGATTTTGACATCACGGTACTAGAGGCCAGTGCTCTGTTATTACCGGCAATGCTGGACGAATGCTCGGGCTCCAATCGATGCGGGAACTTTAAAGCTACCAGGAAATAATGGCCCATATTCAGTGCATCGGAGGCCACGCGAGCTGCACCTGATCAGTGCCGTAGGGAAGTGTCCATGCGTGCAGGCTCGTTCTGTTGTATTGCTTCGGTTTGTACCGTTTTGTACAGGCCCATATCGGTTAATCGCCGGCACGACGTGCTGTTTCATGTGGAAACTGTGCACTTCTATGTCGCACCCGTTAGATACGCGACTCTTTGTTATCTTCTTTATTGTTACGTAGTCACTGATGAGGGCGTGTTCTAAAACCCCATCAATTGGGTGGTGTGGAGGAGCAAAGTAACTCCAAGTCACGAAGTTTTTTAACACTTGCAATTATAAGCCTTGGATTGCAGGTGGACGTTTTTCTCTTGCTTTGCCTTGATGCCACCAGTCGGTCAAACTAAAATGTGCTCTTATTTTGAACCGTCGTGTCCGTCAAGCCAAATTGATTTCATTTCGTTTGAGACTAGGCCGGTGGTATCTTAGTGAGTTTGCTGGGCCATGAGTGCGGCCAGTATGTTCCTTTCCTTTTCAGCGTCAAAGATTTACCTCGAACCCCTCCACTCAGCCTGTTCATTTGCCGGCGGAAGACAGGCTCGTCAATCCATCCATTGTCATGGAAGATCCTGACATTTCGGGTGTGAGTAGAACAAAGTTAGTGACCTGTTCCCGATCACTGTTCTGAGCCACGAGCTCAGTATCTTACGACCATATCTCGCTGGTTGTCGAGTTAATATTGGTGTTGAGCATAGACAGGTCACCGGCGTAATGATTCCGCGTCATAGACAGGTCACCGGTGTGATGATTCCGCGTCATAGACAGGTCACCGGTGTGATGATTCCGCGTCATAGACAGGTCACCGGTGTGATGATTCCGCGTCATATAGGACGAATGGGGCGAGCGCTCCTGTCATGTTAGCCCCGTGCTACGTAAGTCCGCCTAAGGCAGCTGTAAGTGGCCTGTACCGCAATTATGCTGTGCGCCTATGTGGCGTATGCGAATAGGACTGTGTGCCATCCGAGTAAAGACGTTTGACATTGGTAAAAAACCGCGATGTGCATTTCAGATCTGCTACCTAGCGGCAAAAAGTAACGAATAAGCAGCGATGAATCTCTGTAGATGGCAGCACTTGCCGCCACAACCAGCGATATACGGGCACGGGACC